CCTGTTAGCTAACTACAAAAGGTGTTAATAAATAGGCTAACTAGGACAGAATAAAAGAGGTTTTTCAAAAAACAGATAAAAATCCAACAATGTTTCTAAGTCGCCTCTCTGAGACATTGCAGCAACTTACTAATATTGATTTAAACTCTGTGGAGGGACAAACTCTTTTGGCTATGTATTTTATCTCCCAGTCAACACCGGATATTAGGTGCAAACTCCAAAAATTAGAAAAGAGCCCACAAACCCCTCAATTAGAGCTATTAGACACGGCCTTTAAAATCTTTAACCAAGATGAGGAAAAATACAGGACCACCAACATAAGCGGGAAGCACTTCAGCTTTTATCTACCACTTTTATCTTCCACCCCAGATGGTCAATAGCAAAAGGGCTACACAGCCCCCTTCCCAAGTTTGTTTCCGATGCCGTCAAAATGGGCATATGGCCAAAGACTGTCAAGCCCTGCCCACCAGCAAAACCCTGTCCCAGATGCAAACAGCATGGACATTGGGCTCATGATTGCCTCATTTGCCCAGAAGGAGGAGAGCACATGGCCCAGAGGCTTGCTGCAATTAAGGGACACCAGGCATCTTACACGATCTCAAAAGGGGATCTCTTGGGCTTGCTCCAGTCAAAATGACTCACCCCTAACTTGGTAGCCCCAATGTCTTCGGAGCAAACTATTAAACCAACCGAGCCTAGGGTGGAATTATTGTAGCTGGTGGGGTTATATCATTTGTTATTAATATGGGCTACATGCTCAGCTCCACTTAAATTTCCTGGTCCACTCCTTCCTTCACACCTTTTGGTTGTGGGGGTACAAGGCATTATATCCAGGCCCCTCACTACGCCATTACTTCCATGTGTTCTGGGAAATAAAATATTTCAACACTCTTTCCTTGTTATGCCAGCATGTCCAGCTCCATTATTGGAAAGGGACATTATGACAAAAATTAAAACTCATATTATTCTTTACCCTGAGCCATCACCACTGTGCTTTTTGGGTGCCTTTGTATAACTCTGGATTCCCCTAATAGTTCTATGTTGGATTCTATCTAAGCCCTTCCACTGCATATAAACTTATTGCTT